ACAATAACAATAAAATCCACAAAAAAATAAGAACCTAAACAGTTAACATCAGGAAGTCGTCCCAGAAACGAACGATCTACGGTGGTTGCCAAACATTGTGGAACGCGGCCGAAAGACAGTGGAAGGTGAAGTAGACTCGTGTTACAACCTTCCCCCGCTAGTCTCAGGGAATTCCCCCGAGGGTGTGTCCCCGTCCTACCCCCGCCCCCCTCCTGCCTCCTCAAGCCTCTCCCTCTTACCCCATTTCCTCTCCCTGCCCCACCCTCTCTTCCTCCCCTGGCCTTGTGTACCCCGGCCCCTTGTAGTCTCACTCTAGCCTGTGAGTAAACTGGATCCTACTCGTCTAGTCTGTTGGCCTCGCCTTTCTTTGTCCCTGAATGAAAGAGAAGGGATGTGGAGAGGAGAAAGACGTGGAAAGTGGCGGTAAGAAAAATGAGAGAGCGAAGAAATTTATAAAATGCTAATGGACCCCGTAATACCTTATCAGTGGAAGGAAGGGAACGAGAATTTGAAAAAGCGAAAACTATATATCAAAGAACATTCTCATTTGAATCACACGTCTGATCCTCACAACGTGCAACAACGCCAAAAAGAACCGAAAGGAAGAAAACAAAAGAGCTGCGCGATGCGCGACCCACATCATGACGCACGAGGTCGGCGCCGACCGATCTGGGATGCCCCGGCTGTGTGTGATAACTTCCCGGGGAAAATGAGGATTCGTTTACCTTGCCGGGGAGATAAACTGGTTTCAATTTCTTCATTTATTTTTAGCAGCATTTAATAAAAGATGAAATAGGCTTAATTTTGTTTTTAATCCAGGTATTTAGACGAAAGACGGTGATTCTTTGTTTTTGGTTATTTTATAAATTTCCTGCTTCATTGTAAAAAGATTTTTTTGTGTAATTTTGCTTGCGTAAACTTCACAGGGTATGCAGTTACTATCTCAGCAGCATCGATGCATGACTGAGTAATTCATTTGCAGGATGACGTCACCTGCCCCGTGCGTAAGCCAGTAGTGAAACAATGTGTATACATACATACATACATAAGTGCGTACCTCCACGCGCAGCTTTTAATATAAACCAATGGATACACGCGCGCGCACGCACACATGCACACACATTTATATATTATATATATATATATATATATATATATATACATATATATGTATGTATGTATATACATGAATATATAAACATATACATACACACACATATGTATGTATGTATACATGAATATATAGATAAACATACACACGCACACACAAACGCACACACACACACACACACGTATTTATATATATAAATATATATATAAATATATATATACATATATATACAAATGAATACATACACATATATATACACACAGACATATATATCTATATCTATATACATATTATATATTATATATATATATATATATATTTATATATATATTTATTTATTTTATTTTTATTCTTTTAAATTCATTTACTCACTTATTCATTTATATACATATTATGTCATACATATACGTGTGTGTGTGTGTGTGTGTGTGTGTGTGTGTGTGTGTGTGTGTGTGTGTGTGTGTGTGTGTGTGTGTGTGTGTGCATATATATAAACATTCACAAAGAGACATACACTTAAATCAACAAATGAATATACATATATATAAATATACATATAGACCGATTCGGTAACGCCTAGCAACCGCCCCTAGCAACGAGCACTTGGTGAAAACAAACCTTCGTTCTGTCGAAAACTCTCTGCGCTTTGCCTACAAAGTCACTGATTTTTCCGAGAATCTAGTTTCTTTGCTTGAAAATGCCGAGAGGCTGTGTTGCCGTTGGTTATTCGAACACCAACATGATTGGAAAGAAAGGTTTAACCTTTCATATATTCCCAGTTCGCGAAAAGAAACTTGAAAAATGGAAGCAATGGGTACAGGCCATGAAACACATGAACGCTGATGGGAATGCTTGGGCGGCTGGTGGGATGTGTTTACATGTGCTCAAAAGATTTTATTGATGTACATATTAATAGTTTACGCCTTTTCAAATTCCAGAGACAGACAATAACTTTCAAACTCTATCTTCACTACCTACCATGGCCAAACAAGGTCAACATTAGGTTTTGGCAGCAGCCATATACTCTAAAAAGCACAATAGCAATTTTACTTATTTTGTAATAAATTGATTTATCATAATTTTAATTTACAGACAAACCATCCCCGGAACTAACTCACTCAGACTTTATCCCGTCTTTAAGGATTGTCCATTAGATGAAAACAAAGCAGGCATACAGTTGCCTGTTGCCTTTGTGCCTGGAATGCCATATGATCCAGCAGATGAAACAACTAAAGAGGGCCTATCTCTTGAGGTTAAATTACTAAAGAGAGAGAAAATTGCCTTGTGCGCTTGTCGGCCTTTACGTGACTTCATTGTTAGATAGACAGCTTCTAGTTTTGCTTCATATCGCTTTTTCACTTCGGTTTTTGAAGAATCAAAGTATTCAAA